GGTTCTTCGTCCGCTAGGAGGCGGCCCCCGCCGCCGGAAAGCGGCCGGCGGCTCGTTCCACGCGCGCGCGCCGACTGCCTCGGGGTCGCGGCCCTTGTCCGGGGGATTCTGGATTTCGCCGGCCTATGGCTGCCGACGCGGGCTGGGTGGGAGCGGAGGCCGCCCCTGGTGGGGGATGGGGGGCGCGGGCTGAGGGCTTTATGCTGCACGTGGATCCGACTCCCCGGGTGGGTCGCGGCGCCGCTCTACATACGGGTCGTCTCCGGACAGGTGCGGACAGCTGCGACCGGCCCAGCAGTTTCGGGAGCCGTGGAACCAGTGAGCCGGGGCTGTGGGTGCGGGCGGTGTGGTTCTGGGAGGGGGGAAGATTCGTCGCCTGCTGCTAATGTTCTCTCGGCGTTGTGCGAGAGCAGTTAGTTGCTTGTGTACAAATAAGAGGTAAAGGGAAAGAATAGCTTAGGTGTGGCCATCTCGAGGTGACCTGCAGTCTGGGTACAGCTTCAGATCGCCATGCCTTGCAGCCGCTTAATCGTGTGGGCTTTCTCCAAATTTCAGTGTTTGAAGATACTGTGGAGGAGCGTGTCATCAATGAAGAATATAAGATCTGGAAGAAGAATACACCGTTTCTGTATGACCTGGTTATGACCCATGCTCTTCAGTGGCCCAGTCTTACCGTTCAGTGGCTTCCTGAAGTGACTAAGTAAGGGTTTCGGGCTCCTTTTGTCTTGTGTTAATTTAAGTGTTGACCCGAATCCACTAGTTTTGGTGTCTGGTACGTGGAACACGTGCGTGTAATCAATTTAGCGCTTGGATGGGGTTACAGGTAATCTTTTTCAAAATTTGTGAGTCCTGGCGTACAAGTCTGGCGTTAAGATAGGAGAAAGAATTCCTGGTGAGATTAATGTGTTAAGGAAAGACCCCTGGTCTATTGGACATTTTGCGATTCAATATACAGAAGCGTATGTTGGGATCCCAGACCAATGGATTTCTTTAAAACTTATTTTCCCCATTTCTTAAGGAAAAATAGCATTTGTGCAAAAAAGTTCCCAGGTGACAGGCATATATGTGCACAGAGTAAACACACGTATGTAATCAGCCTCTAACGTGAATAAATTTTTAGTGGACAAGAATGTAACAGCATTTTACCAGAGACAAAGTGTTAACTGATTTACAGTGTGGAATAGCCTTTGAAATTGCCGTTTATCTTCTAGGGCTGTTCTTCTCAGCTATTTCTAAAATTTCTCTGCTTGGAATTTGTGGCATTTATTGAACACAAAGTACAGGGGTATGTGAAGAATTGTCGTTGTGTTTGGCTTAATCCTTACATGGTGGTATTACCACTACTTTTTATCCTTGTTCTGTTTTACAAATTAAGGATCCTGTCCCGGATCACACCGCTGGTAAGTGGTGACAAAGACTCACTAGCCCAACCTGGCTTATACTTGCACTTTTCCTAGGTGGAACTTGATGATGTACTTTAAAGGTATGGTAAAGTTAGGTATTGAGCATATAATTTAATGAGTGTTAAACTCTAGAAAGGGGATTTTAGTGATAAGTTACTAAAAATGGGTTAATTTTGTTTAAAATCATGGAATAGCCAGAGTTTCTTTTGAATGTTGACTTTCATAAATACAGGGGCTTCCACTGAGGTCGCTAAAAGTCTCCCTGTAAATACATATGTATGGGAAGAGTAGCCAAGAACAAAATAACGGGGATTTCTAAGCATTAATATTTATGATAACTTTGAGTATCAAATACAGGTATTCTGACTTTGGTTTAGAGCAGTGTGTGCATTTGCCATTGTACCTTTGGTTAAGCAGATTTAAAACTTTAACAATTTAATTTACTTTCTCTTGGATCTTTTTGAGCTCTCAGCTGTAACATGATAGAAGAGTGCAGGCGCTTTTAAGTTAGAGACCTGGAGTTGAATCCTGCCTCCTTCCTGGTGGCTTTGGTAGTTAGGGCAAGTTGGTCAGTCTCTATCCCCAGGTTGTCTGGTCTGTAAATGGAGGTGCTGACAATACTGAAGGCCCACATTGAGGGAATGAGATCAGGGTAAGTATACAGTAAGTGGTGACTGATGCTGATTCTCCCAGCCATTCATATTCAGATTGGTTAGGCTTTTCCACTTGGGTTTCAGTGAAAGTTGCTCACTGAAATCTTTTTAAAATGTTACTTACGTGTTTTGTATAAAGATTTTAAAGGTAATAGGGCCTTATATATATTCTCAGCCTGGAAAGATTGCTTTTAAATTAACACTTAGCTCAACAGAAAATACTTTAAATTATGTATTCCATGTTGGTCTTTGCATATAAAGAAGTGGGAACTGGTTGTGGGATGTGCTGTGGCTCTGGGAATGCAAGAAAAATGCCAGCCAGCTTGCATTCTTGGCTGTTGAGGGTTGCTGTGAGCACTTTGCAGGGCTCTGTTTGGGGTGTGAAGGGGCTGTGATTGGGTTTTGTCACTATACAGAACAGTAAAAAGGTTGAGAAACTAGACCCTACTCAATTGCATGAGGCCTTCTGCTGAGGTATAACATGCTCCCCAATTATAACTGCATGTTGTGAACTGTTTTCCTTAAGTTAAATAATTCAAATAATTGAGTCAGCTTAAAAAAAATTTTTGATTTAGGTATTTCTATAAGAAATTATGTTTTAAAGCTCATAGATCTTTAAGCATTGTGGTTAACTAACAAGCTTTTGTGATAGATCAAATATTGATAATACAAAAGCATATAGTGAAAAGTAAGTTTTCCATCCACACCCCTATTTTGAGTTTCCTTACCAAGATCATTGTTCTCAATTTCTTAATGATCCTGCCAGCATGAAGTGCATATTTTTATCTTTTCTTCCATCTTTCTGTATGGTAGTCAGTTCGCTTGACTTGGAGACTTTCCTGTCAGCCTGCTCAGATAAGCTCAGTTGTTTTAAGGATTCCCATTTACGGATACACGTAATTTGTGTCATCAGTTCCTTAATAAGGGATATTGAGATTGTCGTTTTTTGCTGCTACAGGCAGTGCTGCTTAGAATGATCTTACAGCAATCTGTGATTGTTGCGTGGATTTTTTTAATGTGGAAGCCGTGGTCAAAGGACTCTAGCTGTGGCACCTGACAGTGTTTCATCGGTGCTCCTGCAGTCTTGGGTGTATTCAATGTGGGAGGAAAATGGAGTGATGTTCATTAGTTAAGGAAAGGAGCTTGTTTTATAATAATAGCGGTGATGTAAATGAAAGATTTCATGATCCCCATTCCAAAATCTGGGGTGCTCAAGTCCTTTATGGTCACATTTCCGTATCTGAGTACTGCATCCAAGGATTCAAACAGTCCACACATCTATGCTTGGCTTCCTCCATGAGTGTAAGGGTCGTAGATAGAAAAAAGTCGGTGTGTTTGTGAACCTCAGCAGTTCCAATCCATATGTTGTTCAAGGGTCAGTTGTGTGTTTGCTAAAGAGATTTTAGTGTGATTGGGGGAGACTAACTTGTTAGCCAATGATTTCTTGTAAGATTAGTGCAACTTTTCTTTCTTCCTTAAACAGACCTGAAGGAAAGGATTACGCCCTTCACTGGCTGGTGTTGGGAACCCACACTTCTGATGAGCAGAATCATCTCGTGGTTGCTCGTGTTCATATTCCAAATGATGATGCCCAGTTTGATGCTTCCCACTGTGACAGTGAGAAGGGTGGTAGGTATACCGTATGGTGTCTGAGGGAGTATGCCTCTTTCTCATTACATATTATTAGGATTTTACACTAACATCTTTTGGCCCAACAGTTTAACTTGTAGAACTTGATCCAACAGAGCTACTCACCACATGTGGGAATTTCATAACAGATTTTTGCAAAGTTGAAAAAATGAGTAACCTAGCAATCCATACATTACTTCATAGAAAGTTGGTTGAACTCGTATATTTGAAAAACTGCTTCAGTACATAAGAATGAAATAAATCTGAATGGACTTGTATGGAAAAGAGTCCAAGACAAATTGAATTATCATTATCTCTGATATTAGTACCCACTTTGGTAAAAATAATGTGTTGGTGTGTGCATGGAAAAAAGTTGGGAGGCATGTGTGCCAAATAGTTCATAATGGCTTTCTTTTGATGTGTGTATGAAGGTTGACTCCTCCCATTTCCCCAATCAGACACACATTTCCTTGTTATAGTATTCTTACAACCACCCAAGAAGTTGAGTGATTTTGCTGGAAGGACTCATAAGATGCGATAGCAAATTATCCCCATGGCTAAAGTTCGTTACAGTAAGGAATACAGAACAAAAGCAGCAGGAGAATGGGTAGACATCAGGGAGCTTAGGGAGGTCTGGCACAGTCTCCTTCAAGGCTGCACAGGGTATACTTTCTCTGGCAGCCAGCAGCAGGGACATGAGCTGATAACTGCCCAGGAAAACCCATTCAAGTGGCAGGATCTGGGGGGCTAGTTTCACAGGCACATCCTGCTGACAACCAGGCATGACCACTGAAACTCGCTACGCTGCTAATGAAACCAGGTGCGTATCGTCAAATCTTGTCATTTGTGCAGTGCACCCCTGACAAACTGGTACAGCGTGGTCCATTGCTCCAGGTGTACACCACAAAATCATCAGTTTCATCAGTGACATAAAGAACCTTCTGAGATCCATGTTCTCAGGAGTTGGCCAGAAGCCAGTCATGATCCCACTGTCCCTCAAGTTGGAGGACGAAGCAGCCAAACCAGCTGGGTTGTTAGGTCTTTCCTCACAGCCCTAAATGACTTAAGAGAGCATAACATTTCCCAGCATCTGCTTTAGGAATTTTTCTTGCTGAAAATAAAATTTATTATAACTGAAGTCCTTTCACACTTATTCCCATTCCTCTCTGTCCACAATTCATCACTATAAATTTATATGCCATTTTGAACTATTTGGATACAGTAGCAAATAAAATACGTTATGCGGGGTTCTTTTGGTCATACAACCTTGGTGCGTGGGTAGGTCTGCATGAACGCACGCCATGTAGCTGTCTATTTTAACGGCTATATAGTATTCCGTTGTGGTTAAACCTGTTTCTCCATTTGTCTACCAGGGAGGGGACAGTTGGGTTGTGTGGGCATGATTTCTTGCTTTTTTAAAATTTAATTTTATGGTTACGTTTTTGCTCCTCCACATATGTACTTGTTCTGCTTGTCCTCTGCCACACAGGTTTTTGCTCTTTACAGTGTTTCAGTGAACATCGGTGCTATGCCCACATACACGTGGGGAGAATCTCTAGTAGGAATGGCACCACTGGGTTATAGGATGTATCCGTGTCAACTTAAAAATAACATAAAACTGTTGTTCAAGATGAATTACCCAGTTTGTCACTAACAGTTCATACTCTGTTCCCCAACAATTTTCTGTAGGATTACATTCTAATGGGTGGCTTAAGTATTTTACACACTCAAAAGTCTAACACATTTGAGTTTTCAATTTTAGTGTTCTCTTTCTGGGTGCCTTTATAGTTAATTTTGGTGTGTTTTTTTTTTTTAAATGATTATGATCATGAAGATAGTGATATTATAGACTTTGAGTTTAAGAAAACAAAGGCCTGTGTTCAAAGTAAATCTTACCTGGAAACACAATTTTTTAAATAGGTGAGCTATTGAGATTGTTTATAGTAAAGAAATTGGACAACTTGATTATCTTCCATAGCAGTATGGAGTTGGGGTAGGGGCAGATTTAGAGCCAGGATCTCAGGTGGGATTATAGGAAGGGGTAGAATCAGGAAGGATCTCTTTTAAAAAGGCTGAGGTACTTTTCTTCTGGGGACACAGTGGAGTGGGCAAATGCTGAGAAGGGGAGTTGTGCTGGTCTGGGCTATGTGAAATGGAGTAGAACTGTCGGCCACACAGAAATGGTAAACTGTTGGCTACAGAAAAGGCTTCTTCATGATACTAAACCACAGAGCCAGTGGTCGCCAAGTATCCCACTTAGGGGGAACTGGCTGGAACGGGGATATGGGCTTACTGCTTTTGATGTTACTTCTCCAGATCCTGGCCAGTCTGTTTACCTGTTACTGCCTGGTGCCATCAAGCATTTGAGTTAGTGTTCCCTGACCAGAGACACAGGGTGCGCTAAAAAGGAACGTGGGAAGCAGCAGCAATATGTAGGTCAAGAAGAAATGACACATTATAATGTGATATCTCTGAACTCTGTCAGCATTTAAGTCAGGTTTTTATCTATGAGAACAAAAAAAGGAAATGTTCTTGTTCTTGTCTGCTTGGATGTTTTCTATTTATGTATTCTTTCTGCTCTCATTTTGCTGCTTCTCAGACTTTAACCAACTTTGTGTGTAACTTTGTTATTTCTCCAAGGCCTTTTTAATAAGTGTTGATACCAGTCTTTAACACAGCAGATAGAGGTTCCTCCCTCATTTTAGCTTTACCAGTCTACAAGCAGTAGGCTTGAGTCTGCCAATAGGTGTGTGTGTCTTAGGTTTGTGTAGGAGTTACTTAGCACGTATTTCTTATTTGAGGGTGTTTCTGACTCGACTCAAGTACTGCTCCTATTCCTGAAAGAAGGTTAAACCTTCCCTGTCTTAATGAAACAAAACAAGATGCTAGTTCACTACAGTACTTCCAGATGACTGGTACTTGAGCAAAAGGGCTGAGTGTGTTTATCCATAGTTGTTGAAGTTTCAGGGAATAATCACATCTTCACAAGTGAGAGGGACTGAATTTTAATTGTTCTGTATATCAGGTAGAACTGAATTCTCTCGCATCAAATCACTGTCAGTGTTTTCCTGTGCAAATGACTTTTGGGAATAAATGACTTCCCACTGGGCAGTGGACCTGTATATCTATGTTCTTTCTCTTGCTGGTCAATTTGTCTTGTATTCAGTCAGGTTAAAATCCCAACCCTGTTGGGTTGATTCAGCTAGGTGACCTGTGATTTTTAATCCTAAGTGTATGTGTTTATTCTTTCTTCTCACATTAGAATTTGGTGGCTTTGGTTCTGTAACAGGAAAAATTGAATGTGAAATTAAAATCAACCACGAAGGAGAAGTGAACCGTGCTCGTTACATGCCGCAGAATCCTCACATCATTGCAACAAAAACACCATCTTCTGACGTGCTGGTTTTCGACTATACAAAGCACCCTGCTAAGCCAGGTATGGGGGGATAAAGTCAGGTCCTCACTTGAAAGCTTATTTTTCATTTGACGTGGTAATTGCTTTGGCATCATTCAAATTAGTACACACTATAATTTTTAAAGGTTTAAAAATTGTTCAGGGGAGGGGAGTGTGAGGGCTGTCTCATAACCTCCCTTGAGTTCAGTGATTTAATAGTAGGACTTCACAGTGGATTATACTCCTGGCTAAGCCTTAATACAGCGAAGGATACAGAGCAAAAGTGGGAGGGAAAAGATGGCACGTGAGGAGGGAGTGTCTAGAGCGGTCAGGCCCAGGCTGCTGGGTGTTTTCCTGCTGGGCCCCATAGAACTTGCTTTCTCCCCAGCAGCAAACCACAGGGGCATATGCTAAGTGTCTTTGCCCAGGGAAGCCCATTTGAATTTGGGAGTCAGGTTTTTATGGGAGGTTTGGTCTTGTAGACACTTCCTGCTCTCTGAGCAGCCATAGTAAGGGAAATAGGACCCCAGCATTGAAACCAGATGCATCATGAATCTTGCTAAACAGTCCTACAAGTCGTGACAGGTTGCTCCGGCACGCCTCACCGCTCTGGGCATACACAACTTCAGCAGTTGGTAACATGAAGAATTTTGTGATGGTCACATTCCCAAGGGTTGGCTGGGGGTTCAGTCATGGGTGCAGGCGATCCTGACCTGCAGTGTTAATTAACTATTTCCTTACAAAAATTTTTCTAAAAATTGACTGGTATGCATGGGCGTGGGATGGGAACACATTAGCCCCTCACAAACATATGGCATAGCTGTGTTGGAGCTAGGTTTTGCAAAGGAACTAGTCATTTTATGGTCACGGGACTTGGTTTGCATCGACTGAAATGAGGTGCAAAGAAACCTCTTTTCTAGGCCTCTGTGGCCAGACCAAGTCCTTGTTGGCATGGAGGACTGTTCCAAACATTGTAACGAACTTTGTGGCTCAATGGGGGGAGAGAATTTGCTCTTACCAGTTCTGATCAACAGATAAACACTTAGTAGTTAATGTATTTTTTTTCTTCTTTAGACCCAAGTGGAGAATGTAATCCTGATCTTAGATTAAGAGGTCACCAAAAGGAAGGCTATGGTCTTTCCTGGAATTCTAATTTGAGTGGACATCTCCTAAGTGCATCTGACGACCATGTGAGAAACCTATTTTTCCTCTCCTGCTCACATACCCAGAGTTAGAGAGTGCTCCTCCCCGGAGGAGCACTCCATAGATAGAAAGTTTTTGAAGATGATACTGCTGATGCTTGTGATAACATTTGTTGGGTCTTAGAGCATTGGTTCTCAAACTGCCCTTTGGGGGTCCATGGGGCTCTTTTGAAGCAGCCTTGGGATGGTGGGAAAATAGACATAGGACTTCCCATTGTTAAAAAGAAATGATTTCATGTGAATGACATTTTAGGTTATTTTTATTTTAAGTGTATAGTTCAGAGGTTGTTAGTGTATTCACAAAGTTGTACGGCCATCTCAAATTAGAAGGTATTATCACCAGATGTCCCAGAAAGAAACTCCACTTCCAGTAGTCACTCCCCAGCCTGTCTTTCCCCAGCTCCTGGCTACCACTGATTTACTTTCTCTCTGTAGATGTGTCCGTTCTCAGTGTTCCAGATAAATGGAATTGTCTCTTAGCTTCATCTGTTTTGAAGTCTTGTCAGTGCTTCATTCCTTTATTGTGATTGAGTAGGCTTCTGTTCTGGATATATTACAGTTTACTCATTTATTGGTGGACATTAGGGTGTTCTTCACTTTGGGGTTCTTTTCACTGATGTTGCTACAAACATTTTGCACAAGTTTTTGTGTGGATATGTTTTTATTTCTCTTGGGCAATTACCTAGGAGTGGAATTACTAGGTCATACGGCAACTATGTTTAACTTTTTGAAGAACTGCCAAATTGTTTTCCAAGGCAGCTGTACCACTTTACATTCCCATCAGCACTATACCAAGGTTCTAGTTTCTCTACATCTGCACCGACACTTGTTACTGTCTGTCTCTTATTATAGACTTCCAAGTGGGTGTGAAGTGCTATCTGACTAGTTTTGATTTATATTTCCCTGATGACTAATAACACTGAGCCCTCTCTGCATGTGTTTATTGACCACTCATGTCTTCTTGGGGAAAATACTTATTTAGGTCCTTTGTCCATTAAAATAGTTTTTTTTTTTTTTAAATGTTTGAGTTTTAAGAGATCCTTGTATAGTCTAAAGTACAAGTCCTATCAAATTTTCCCTCATTTTGTGGGTTGTCTTTTTCACTTTTTTGAGGATGTTCTTGAAAGCACAAAAACTTGGAATTTTGTGTTCAGTTTATGTATTTTATATTGTCATTTGTGTGGTACCTATGAAATTGTCTTATAACCCAACAACACAAAGATTTAAGCTTATTATTTTCTTAGGATTTTATTTGTACTTTAAGCTTTTACATTTAGGACTTTGATCCATTTTGAGTTAATTGTTGTATATGATGTGAAGTAGGGGTTTTATTCTCTTGTATGTGAATATCCAGTTTTCCCAGCACTGTTATTAAAAAGCCCTGCCTTCCCTCTCTGAGTTAACTGGCTTTCCCGTCCTTAATATCATTTTAACCAGAGCACCACACAAATGCAAAGTGATTCTGTTCCTCTGTTGTAGCTCAGTGTTTGTGGTGTTCTTGCCCTTAACAGCCTTATATTCTCTCATGGTCGCCATACTGTAAGTAAAAAAAAAACAACTGGTATGATTCCAGCCTGAGGCCAGACCTCGACTTGTGGGGCTTTTGAAGCTCCTGTAACTTGGCCACAGTTAGCATTTTGTGTCAGCTTTAGGAGAGTTAGGTTCCTTGCTGAGAATAGGACCTGTCACATTATAGACCTTTACATTTCTGTTGATAGCAATTTCTGTTAAGCTTTTTGAAACATTGAAAGTGGCTAATTGCCCCAGTCAAGCTGCTTTAGTTGTAGCAACCCGAACTGACTGGCTCATTTAAACAGAAAAGGAGTGTATCAGAAGGTGGTTGCTAGGGGAGCTCACCAAATTGCCCTGATGGCTGGAAAATGGCCCAGAAAAGAAAGGAGAGGCCAAGTGGGGCAAGTGAGGGAGTTGTTCTTGGTGCCTGGACAGTCCTACTCCATCCCAGATTTTCCTTTGTTCCCAACTGGAAGTCCGGGTTACACTGGAGCCTCAGCCCTGTCACGTGATCTGGGAGGCCAGGATTCAGGGTCCGCCTTTGTACTCAGTCAGGAAGCTACCTGCTTCCTCCGAGTCACCCAGGGAGAGGCTCTGCACTCCTAGGATAGGTTCTTCATTGCTAGTGCTGTTTGAGGGTGCCAGGCTGGGAATTGCTAGGCCTTTTAGTAGCTGTCCTCTCCTGAGGATGGTGTGTGTGCTGGGCTTGTTGCTAGTCTCCCAGGAACCGTCTGAGGTGAAGGGTGGGGGAGGCTGGTAGAAGCCCCAGCGTACCTTCCTTTCTCATGTGTGAGCTGTGTGTTTAAGTAACCAGAACGAGAACGTATATGGTAGGGGAAACGGTGGCTTTTATTGGGAACTAGCTTTGCTATGGGCACCTCTTCACATAGGCCAGTGTTTTGCATAGAGGTGAAACTCACATTGTGTCAGTGTAATTAATCAAGGAAACCTTACTGGAATGAATTCTGTCTTAAACCATTGGATGAGGCTCATTGCTTTATAGCTTGTGTTATTTTTTTCATAAAAACTGAAGGCTTTCCTCTTGTTATCGGATGTCAGGAGAAGCCTGTACTCACAGATCTCCTTGGCCATTCCGTGGAGTCTGCTGGTATTTTAAGGAACAAGGCCTGGGGAGCTGTCTGCAGCTCCAGAGTAACCTAGTAGGGGCTTTTGCATCATCTGTCCTACTACCCAATGCCATGAAATGAGGCTTCTGTGTTCTTAAAAGATAAAGCCTTATTGTAGTAACCATCTTCCCGACCCAGTGTGAGTCGTGAGCATGTGTGCTCAGTAGATCCCAAGTGCTGGACTCCAAATGACTTGTGTCAGCTCAAGGAACGCCAGCTTGAGTGTCTCAGCCTGCCACTGTGTGTGTGCCCCCGCCCCCAACCAGGGGCATTTTCTTGGCCCAGAGGTCACGGAGGAAGCTCCAGAATCTTCCATTTGTGAAGCTTCACATTTGTTGTAGTGCTCCTCCCTTGCTTTTATTTCTGACTTTTGTGTAAATGGTTTTGTTTTTCACAAAGGTGTTTTAAATAAGATGCTACCCTTTACATGGAGTCTCTAAAGGGTGCTTGTTGATTTGTTTTCTCCTTCAGACTGTCTGTCTGTGGGATATAAATGCAGGACCAAAGGAAGGCAAAATTGTGGATGCTAAAGCCATCTTTACCGGCCACTCAGCCGTCGTGGAGGATGTGGCCTGGCACCTGCTGCACGAGTCTCTGTTTGGATCTGTTGCGGATGACCAGAAGCTCATGATGTAAGGGGTGGCAGGCTCTGGTGCATGGCACCCCCATGAGCAGCGGTGCCTGGGCCACTGCAGGGGTTGCTATTGCAGCTGGGCTCTGGCTTGACAAGGAAAGAAGGGAGGTGTGAGAAACACACGGTAACTTGCTTGCACGAAAGGCCTTTTTATAAAGGATCTCCTGTGCTGTGTGAATACAAGCTGCTCTTTTTAAAAAGAAAGACAACAGGCATGAACCTGAAGAACATGTCTGGCAGTGGGGATTAGCAAAACTAAGGTCAGGGAGGACAGCAATTCCATCACCGTGTGGCCGCTCAACCCCCAGTAATGCTTTCAGCTCAGAAATGAATACCTGAGGCAACTATTGCAAAATGCTGAAATCAGATAGGCTTGGTTGTAGGTCTCAAATTGTTAGGTTATTGTCAACATCTCTATTTTGTATGTGCCTGAAATATAACAAATGAGAAGGCAGAACTGTGGCCTTAGAGCTTGTCTGTAGGCTTGGGACACCTCACTGAGCGCTTGGGAGTCTGTGCTGCCGCCTCTGTGTTTTGACGTCTACAGGGCGGGCAGGCGGAGTGGGACTGATGAGAGCGGGCGGGTGGGGGGGGCACCTCTGTGCGGTGCGCCTTGTGCCTTTGTGTTGTAGATGGGACACCAGGTCCAACACCACCTCCAAGCCGAGTCACCTGGTGGACGCGCACACCGCGGAGGTCAACTGCCTGTCATTCAACCCCTACAGCGAGTTCATTCTCGCCACTGGCTCTGCAGATAAGGTTTCTATGTTTTGGCATATTTTGTGCTCACAAGCCCAGTTGTCTTAACATTGTAATCAGATACTTCAAAATTATCAGGTAAAATGCAGAAATGAATTCCTTTTCACTTGTGGTTTCCTTTAGACTGTAGCTTTATGGGATCTGCGTAACTTAAAGTTAAAGCTCCATACCTTCGAGTCTCATAAAGACGAGATTTTCCAGGTACGTGATGGTTGTCTGGTGTCTGTCAGGTTTTGGTGACTTCTTGGTGGGGTGGAATATTTTATATATGTGGCAGATGTGGGTCTTTATTTTTTAAGCTCCTCTTCTGCTAAAATTAACTGGTAGAAAATAAATTGCTTTTTAAGAGACTGTTAGTTAAGAAGTAGAAGAAAAAGCCTCACAGAACAGGGTCAGTTTAAAAGTGAGACCCAAGGATCTCTGTGTTGTGGTGTACCAGGGTGGCGGGTTCTTCAGTGGAGGACACCCTGTGCGGAGATTCGCATTGGCCGAATTACACTTTATTGGGACCCTTAAACAACTCTGGGATGGTTATGGGGCTGAAAAAGTTTTTGGGGACCCTTAGCAGAGTTCAAGTGACCTTCCTGGGGACAATCTGGGGACATGTGGACCATTAAAAGAACACTTTAAAGGGCAGGACGGGGAAGTTTCAGAACATGGCTTGGGAAGTTTCAGAACATGGCTTGGGAAAATGCCAAGGACTAGAATGACACCCACAAACGTTGAATGCATGTTTCTTTTAAACACTGAAAATGTGTCTTACTAGGTGCACTGGTCTCCACATAATGAAACTATTCTGGCTTCAAGTGGTACCGATCGCCGCCTGAATGTGTGGGATTTAAGGTAACAGAATTTGGCGACAGGAAACTGCATAAATACTGAAGTAACTTTTGAAATGCTTCCTGAGGAATCTGCTCTGCAAAGTAGAAGGGAATCAGCCTGTAGGCTAAACTGGTTCTACACGTGTGGTCTTTCTTTGCTGTGCAGGCATGACAGGGTGTGTGTCTGCCTCCCTGCCTGTGTGTTTTGAGTGTTCAGATGCATGTACTTTCTGGGCTTAGACTGGTGTTACATACTTTTGTGCTACTGGAATTCCAATCATGAAAGCATTGTGTTCTTTAATAGCAAAATTGGAGAAGAGCAATCAGCAGAGGATGCAGAAGACGGGCCTCCAGAACTCCTGGTATGTATTGTATTGGCTCTTAGGCAAGGTGAATTGCCCCGTGCACCCTGGGCTGTGTTGCTGGCTTATGTGGAGAAACGAGTCAGTGTAGCTTTTTTTCCTTAAGATTTGTTGTTTTTGTTGTTGCTATTTTTTTTTTTAAAGATTTTATTTGTGCATACAGAACTGGGATACAGGCCAGAGATGTGGAGGGTGAGAGAATTCACCAGAGACAGAGTGGAGTGCAGAACAGGCAGATCAACGAAATACACTGCTGAGGGGAGCAGCGGGCGGGTCAGGAGAGGTCTGCCACGCCATGTGGTCACCTCCGGGGCAGGCGGGAATCGAACTCATGAGGAAGCGGCTTTAGATTGTCAGTGCTGTGCTTTAACCCGCTGCGCCACCAGGGAGGGCCCAAGTTGTTGCTATTTTTTAACAAGAACTGGGGTGTAGGCCAGAGGTGTGGTGGGTGAGAAGGCTGCTGCGCCATGTGGGTCACCTGCCTGGCAGGGGATTGAAGTCAGAGTGGCTGACCACAGCTTCATAAAACTTAGACTTTAACCCACGCGCCCAGTGGGGGCGGGGGCTCGAAATGTGTAGCTCTTAAATATTTTCAAATGGAAGGTCTTGAGGTATTGTGATTGGGTTTCACATTTTACAAAAACAAGTAGAGGCCAGTAGGTTTTTATGACTGGTTCACTGAAGTTAATTTGAGCTCTTGGAAACCAGTGTCATTTTTCTATCACTTCAGTTGTAATCACATTTCTCAAGGCAGATATTGGCATTCTTTGAGCAACTCTGAGCGCTATCTAACAGTGTGAGGAAAAAATACTGGCCTAAGTTTTGAAGATCCCCAGCCTAGAATATGGACACCCCTCCATTTTACCTTGTTGGTGTTAGCAACGCCCTCTGTCTCCCATGTTGGCTTCTCTGCCCCTTGAAGGCTTACGAGGTGGCCATCCCCATCCTCACTGTCTGTCCTCCAGTGTATCCTTCAAGTCACTTTCCGTGAAGCATTGCCAGACTGAAGCAGTGGCTCTTTGTCCTTGTTTTGAATTCACTGTTTGTCTCCACCAGTCATTTGGCAGATAATCACTTGATTGCCTGTGCCGTATATTTAGCCCTGAGGCCAGTGCTAATTTTCTGTACACTTGTGCTGCGCTCACCACCTTTAAAAGGTAAAGAAAGCCCTTGAGAGGGAGCCCTACACTGAAGATGCTACTGAATCCCTCATTGTCCAAATATCCAAGAGCCTCTGCTCCTTGTCCAGTTTATCACCAGGCCCTGCACCTCAGGGCAAAAGGAAGCATGGGATGTACTGGCATTTGCAGTGTTAGTACCACTGCTGATGGAAGATTCTTTCTCAGTTAGCTGCTACCCAGAACAGGTCACAACATGGTTTATTCTGTATTGGGTGACTTCATTTGAAAAGTCTGCTTCGTGATGCAGGGCTTCATGATTTTTAACTGTTTGTGGACTAAGGTACTGCTACCAGCTGTTTCTACTTCCTTGATGCTTTTTAACTTTCGGTTAACACCTTTATTGAAAGGGCATTCACATGCCATATCAGTCACCTTTTTAAAGTATACCATTCAGCGGTTTCTAGTGTCTTTACAGTTGTCCGACATCATTTCTGGGGCGTTTGTGTCCCCTGAAACAAATACCATATCTGGGGACCATCACACCCTATCTCCATCCCCCAAGTCCCTGGCCACCGCTCATTTCCTTATTTCTCTTGAGATTTGCCAGTTCTGGGTACTGTGGAGTCAGGCAACCTGTGGTCTTTTGTACTAACTCGTGGAGTTGGCATAGTGGTTTCAAGGTTGCCAGCTATTTTTTGATCTTCAGGGAGAGATGAGTATAACATTATAACATTTGGAACATTATGCTCTGTGACAGTTTCATGGTCCCTGTCAAAATCCATTAGGTTTTTCTTCTTCCATGAGAGTCTGAAATCAAGAGTTAGTGAAATAAAGCTTCAGGTATAGCAAGGTGGATACTAACTCACTTTAATGTGTCATGGAGAAAGCAGTGCATGTTCCAAGCCAGTGGTGGTAGACTATTTTGAAAAGCTGTTTATCCCATCTCACATTTTTACACTGATAAAATATATTACGTAAGCTAGTTATTTAGCATCTAACCCTAACTGGTAGACAGCAGGAAGTGACTTTAGTGTTGAGAACAGTGTTTGCGTTCCTGCATCTTTAAGGAGGTTCAGTCCTTTCCCATGAGGTCCTTTCACAGGAAACATCCTGTACCCCCCCCCCCCAATCTCCTGTCCCTACTACGGGGCTTCTGGGAGCCATACTTTTAGATTCCTGGGGGCCCTTCTCCCCACCTGGGCACTGTGCCTTCTAAGATGCAGGATGGCTGAGAGGCAGATCTTTCAGTCAGGTAAAGCTGTGTTAAGCTGAAGAGTCAGGCTCCTCAGACCACTTTTTGGAAAGAGCATACAAAATGGGATGTTCTGGAAATGTGTCACCTTGAGTATCTTCAGTACTGGACTGATAGTGAGGCTGAGTCCCCGTGAGTGGCGTTGGGTTGGGAGACAGCTGTGTGTTCCTGGGAATGTGTCCTTATTCTTAAGTGATGCGGCTTCAGCCCATGTGGGCCACATGTCCCATCTGCAGTTTTGGTGGCTTGGTAAAGTACACACACAGGGCATTCTGTTGACATTGGGGGGCCTAGCCCAGGGCCTTTAGCCATCTCTGCGCGATGCTCTGTCACTCTGTTAGAAGGCTTGGGGGAGTTTCCCAGCAGTGGACTGGAGTGGATCCTTGCAGCCTTGTGTTCTCTCCATACTGCAGGGCCACAACCCCCAGTTGTAAGGCTGCTTCCTTGAAAACCAACTGGACTGGAGATAAACCAAGATGAGGTTTTTTTTTGTTCTTATTAACAGTTTATTCATGGAGGACACACCGCCAAGATATCTGATTTTAGCTGGAACCCCAATGAGCCTTGGGTCATCTGCTCAGTGTCCGAGGATAACATCATGCAGATATGGCAAATGGTGAGCTAAACTGATTTTCCTTAATGATTATCTTGTAAAAGAGAGACTTGCTGCTGACATAAAAATGTTCCAGCTCTGTAGGTACATAATTATCCCAAATGTTTCTAGAAAGGAAACAGTCAGCCAGCCGTTTTCCACTTGAGGTGACTAGCACCTGTTGGGTCAGGGCTCCTCTGTGTAAACACAGGTGAGGGCTTGGTGTCTGAGCCAATGTTCATTCACTGTCCCCTGCCAGTTGGGCCCTGGGCACCACAGCACTGTCGGGTACCTGCTGTGTCACTGGGGTAAGGCTACCAGATCCGAGTCACTGCATTTATCATCCCTTCGTTAGCCTTCTGGACAGTGCCAGAAACTTTGGAAAGTGCCTTGTCTGAACAACGGTTAAAGAAGTAGGGCCCAGGCAGCTGGGGTCTGTACGCTAACTTAGACACTGGTAGTCTCGGAAACACTGGCTGCCTTTACCCACTCGGTGCGTCAGTGCCTGTTGGGTGAAAGCCACAGAGGAAATGACCCAAAAAGTTACTCTAAAAATGTATCCACATTTCGCTTTATAAGATTGAAAACGACCAGTGAATCCTAAAATCTGGATAATTATTAAATGTTATTTTTACGTTACCTTGTAAAAACCCCCGGGGGAGTTTTACCTGTGAATTTATTTGGTTGTCATCTCCAGGCTGAAAATATATACAATGATGAAGAGTCAGATGTCACACCATCGGAACTGGAGGGGCAAGGATCTTAAACCCAAAGTAAAAGAAGTGTTTCTGTTGAATGTATGCTACATTGAATGCTTGGTTTATCAAGCGCCAAAAAGGCATTGTATAGTAGGAAATGTAAGTGGGATGGCAAATGGCGTTCTTTACTTCTGATTCTAGCACTTTCCAGTGAGCTGTTGCGTACTGTATCATATTGTAGCTTTTAGGGAAGAAAGGAATGTTGCTTAAGGAAGAACATCACAGTTGTTTTAAAATACAAGTTAGCAGGGTACTGCCTTTGATTCAACTATTTTAAGTCAATGTTTTCTCAAACTAAGTGCTTGCTGTTCCCAGATATGCAAGAGTTAACTTTTACACTTTCCCCCCCCTCCAACACTTCTTGATTGGCTTTGCAGAAATAAAGTTTTAAAATAAACTTTGTTTTATTTTTACAGAACCTGGGTAGGGAGGGGGTGTGTCTGTCTGGCCATATGTCTATCCCTTTCTTGACCAGACAAGGGTACAGTCTTTCTCCCCAGTTTCTTATTTGACTCATTTTTATAAGTGAGGAGGCCGTTGTGCATGCTGGTTGAGGACTGACCAGCTTTCCAGGATATGTGACAGAACCCCACTCTAAACCTGAGAAGTGAGGCGTCTGTACTTCATGGTTTGTGATGCATAGACCTAGAACGACCTTAACTCACATCACTTGACCCATGCTGTGTTTGCGTCTTAACTTGGGCAGCTTTGAATGTTGGATCTCTCCCCAAGAGAGTGAGCAGTTGGTTGCTTACATGGCACAGGTCAACATCTGGGGCAAGATGGGCCTACTATACCCGACAACAAAACCGGCCCCTCGCGCTCGTTACAGGCGCTTCAAATACTTACTGCTCCACGTCAGGGGCACCCACACGTGCTTGTTCCATAGGCGCTTCCGTAGGCACACTGTGCAGTGCTGCAAACAGCCGCGGCTGGAGAAATCCATAGTCCTGGCAGTTTCTTAACGTTTTGGCGGTAGCTGCAGTTAGAATGTAGACTTTTTCTAGATCTATTTTAAAGGTTCAGAAAAAGGGTACTTAATGAGTCTTGCAGCAGGAAACAGATCAGCCACCCAGCCCACGGATGGCCGGGCTGCCCCTCGTTAAAAGGGCAGGATGGTGGAGACTGCCTGGGACCTAAGGAACCCGGATGACTGCAGCTGTTTGAACTTGACTTGATTATTACCACAATTAAGGTCACATGATAACAAACTCCACAGAAGCTGTTAAATATATCATACATATTTACTTCATCTATACAGAATCGAGTAGATAAAATCAGATTCACATTAGTGAAAAATCTCTACAAAATGTCTTTGAAAAGCAAAACAAGACTGCCTCTTAACAATTCGTATCCTCATGAAAGACGTGGGCTGTAAAAATAAAGCAGTGTGTTTAGCACAAACTAGAAGATATCTGCATCATTTTTTCACAGTTATTTCCATCTACAGTCTGAAAGAGGTAGATTTTTCTGCAACACCTGAGAATTGAATTGTGATAGCCAGGTGTGATAAAGGCAGTTGCATACATAACTGAAAAGACTGGTCTGAAGACCAAGTAATGTTCTCCTACAACTCTACGAATGAACTGGTCCGTTACCCAAGACCCAAGTTTCTTCCTGGGTGTCTGCTGCCACTCTTAAATACACCAAGAGCACGTGATGGTGTGACAGATGCAATGTAAGTGAAGTGGACATTTTAACCTTTTCTGGGTCAGCCTAGTAGCGTTACAGTGTTCTAGAATATGGTAGATAACAGGGCGTGCTACAAAGCCACAGTACTGGGCTGGTGAGGTGGTTGCTTTACGAGGGCCTCCTTGGGGGGCGGGGGGTCCCATGTGTTTTTATTCACAGGGTAATGGGTGGGAAGATTCTGAAAGGACACCAAACACATCCCACACAGAATCCATATCCTTGAAATACATGACAGCATCTAGCTAAAAATACACAGTAAGCCAAAAGCAGCAGGCCAAGGACTGAGTCACATGGCTAAGGAAAGCCCTTGAAAATACGCAACAGGCCCAAGGTTTACAATCCTCCACACAGGACAAGCACCACAAAGAAACGAGGCGGCTACGATGGCTGAAGAGCGCTCTGTTGAGAGCCAGACACCCAGCAGAGCTGTTGTGAAATGGGACTGTTAGTCCTCATTTTAAAGTAGTTTTAATTTGCAATATACCTTCATTTCCTCAGGGAAATGAGTCCAATATTTCATTAAGTAGCTGAAGGGGGTATTTATGAGAGGTTATTGGAGGGGAGGGATGTTTGTTTTTGCCTCTGACTCGTTTTGACAAGAGTAATTAATCAGATAACCTACTTTGTGGATTTATTTTCCTCTGCCATCTGGCCCTTGGTTAACATGACCAATGATGGAAGCCTGGTAGTACAGTATCCTCCACTCCAGGTGCTGTTTCCTATCTACTGGACAGTTTTCAATTCTTTCTCAGTTTAGTGTGTGTCAGCAGGATAAAAACCCTTTTATTTAACTGGACGGAGTGGAAATTGTTCAATGCAGTAAGTAATTTAAGAGGTGTCTGTTGGATAGTTTTGCTTGGTGGAATGTGCTATCATAGGTTCCAATAGGACCTTTTAATTTTCATAAAGTATCTCAATGCGAGTTATGCCAGGGACAAATCAGACCTCCTCAGTCTCTCAACTTAGCCATATTGTCGCAAAGAACAAAGGGAATCAGTTGAACTACTTCAGGTGGTGTGCTGGGTTGTGAAAGCTCCCCCTTCCAAGTGTACAGACCTTGGTAATACTGGTGTTTTTCCTTTCTTCAAAACAAGTGACAGTAAGAAAAGTGTGAGAAATAGGCGAAAAGATAAGTAACAGATTCTGACTAAACACTCTGCCACGTTTCCCCAAAGTTAAAGATGTTGGTTCTAGTCCCAACTGGGAAATGAGACCGGTTTTAGTTGGCACTAGTCATAACCAGATTCCCTTTTTTAAAACCTGGAGAAGTTGCTGGGACTTGACAGGTGGACACTGACGATGGCCCAAGGAGGCAGCGGAGAGACTCAGGATTCGTGAAGGCAATGCAGGAACTTGCCCTCATCTTATGACCAGCATGACTGCTGCCTGTAGGGAGCGGAGACGGGCCAAGTGGAAGCGGGCAGCCCCTGCACTCTGCAGTGGAGGCAGGGGCCCAGGCTCACCAGTGGCTCTAACATCCTGAAGCCGAAGCAGAATGGCTTCACTAGGAAGGTCTGAGCCTTCAGCCTGCCCGGTGACCTGCCTGCCTGCACTGCTGCTCCCGACTCACAGCTTCCTGCCTGCCTTCTGCCAAAGCTTGTAGGAACTCAAGGCTTGTGGCCATGTCAGCTTGTCAAATGTAGAAATACCAAGTGGCCTAATTGGAATTGAATATTCTATGCTTCTTTCTGACCCAACAAGAGTTTTATTTTTACTTGGCATTTAAACGGTCTATTAGGGAAAACTAATAATGTTGACTTCTTTTTTTGAATATTATTAATGGGGGCCAGGATCCTGAAGTATTTTCCCATCAAGGGACCATTGTCAGAACAAAGTTCCCTTGTAATGGTCAGTCCTGTCTTGAGTGAAATTTTAATTAGGATAATTCTAGACAAGGAGCAGGGAGGAGGACACGCCATGACCACATGCATTCCAATGAAGGGAACCGAGGCAGATGTGCAACACAGCTGAGGAAAATGCAGAGTAAAACTATCCAAAGGGCTAAGCAGCCTCCTGTACCACAGAAGTCCAGTAGTTCTAAGAAAATACAGATATGGTAGAAAAAGTAAGAAAATCTTCACCACAAAACCAATAGTTAACTACTAACAGAGAAAGTTATACACAAAATAGAGCTCTCCACACAGCAATCACACTTTATCTCAGTCAACTGACTCGATGCCCGTGCCTGCACCCGTGCACCCGGCTTGGGGCATGGGCTCTGGGGGGCACGGGGTGCCGACCAGAGGGTAAGCAGGGTTTGGCTGGGCAGGGGAGCCCGGGGCAGCACAGGGCCGAGGCACCCCCCGCCCAGAGCCCTGCTCCTTCAGGACCTCCACCTTCTCGTTGAGCTCGTTTCTTTCTGTTTGAAGAGCCCTGCACAGCTTCTCTAACCGTTCCAGTTTGATTTGAAAAGCCTTGTATTCTTTATCTCGGACAGTTTTCTGTGAGGGAAAAAAAGGTGGAAGTTTATATAACCTCTGGATAGGAATTCAGTCCCAGACACACAGAAACCTGAGCCGCATCAGCAATGTCTGTTTTCACCCTTCTGAGACACGTTCTGCTGCTTCAGACACCCAGCCCTGGCTAACAACTGCACACAACACCTGTGGCATGGACTACATTTTTGTTCTAGGTTGACAAAATTTAACTCCCTGTTGGGCTTAAAAAATACATAGTTTCACCTTTTCCAATTTCTGGATTGATGAAATACTAAAATTCAAAACCCAATCGCTAACCCTAGCAGATAAACTAGAAAAGCCTACTTAAAACCAGAACTCATATCTACAGACATGTCTTCTACCAGTTTTTAAATGAGAACATTCACACACTGTTTCAGTGCCTGCACTCGCTCAGCTGTGAGGCTGGTGGAGTGCTGGCACCTCTGTGGAGGCCCAGTAGAGGCAGCGGAGGTCCTCCCTGTGCACGGGGGTCTGCACGCCAGCTGCTGTTTTCAGACAGCATCTCCAATCGCAGCGCAGACCTGGCCAGAGGAACGCCAGCGAAGGTTTGGGCAGCCACTGCTGGGGGAGCAAAACCTGGGTGCTTTCCAGTTCCCCCACACAAGCCTGGGCCAAGCAGCAGGGTAGGAGGAAGTGGAGCTCTTGTCTGGGGCACTTTCCAGCCCCCGACTTCTGCCAGACACCCCAGGGTAGCTTAGCTACCACCCTGCCCCTCCCAGTGAGGGGAGGCACCTAACTGCCCACCACACACACACCTTGGTTGTGGGAAACCACCTTACCTCTTCCGCCATCTGCAGAAGCGCCTTGTTGTTATTTTCCCACTTGCTGCGCCAGATTATCGTTTCTTTTTCCAGCTTTTTAATTTTCTTCGTCATCTGTGATTCGACACAATTGCAAGTGTAAATTTGAAGTTCCATCTCTTATCTCTACCCCCACTAGCAAATCCTGCCTTAGAGGGTTAACCAGGGCTGCGCCAGGAACCAGCGGGGTGTCGGAGTTGAGAATGTCTGGGCCATCAGGCCTCTCCACGCTGGATGGAGACTGAGTCTGTGAGCTGTCTGCCCACTAAATTAACTGTCTGGTAGTGGCAGGGTAGGGCCTGCAGCACCGGATGGTTAAGGTACAGTGCCCGCCTTGAGGCAGCATAACTTAAGTACTCCCGTGACCAAAGAAGAGGTAAAGTAGTTCATTCCACTCTGCTCATCCTTATCACCCTCAAGAAAATGGTTCCAAAAATGAGGGGCACCTTCTTAAACCCACGCCCCAAGCACCCAGCTTATGCAAGTTTCCAATGAGGCTTCTCTGTTGTCAGTGCATCCTGTGTTCAAGACCCCTTTGTGCCCTGCTGCCTGTGCCCCAGTTCTCGCCAAGGGCTGGGAAGGAAAGGAGACCAGAGCAAGTGGAGTGGGGCAGACGGGAGGGCGAGCCTGGGAGGTGCCGGGTGAGCGCGGACAGGGGGGTCTCTGGAGGCTGGCTCACAGGAATGGATTACAGGCCAGAGGCTTATCTGCAAGGATAGCCCCCAGCAGTGCTACCATCAACTCTGCCATTGGTGTGCCCAGGTGGGGCCCTGCCTTGGCCACCAGATTGAGGGGATTTATAGAATGAATGTGCTGCTCCCTGAATTCTCCAGATTATTGGGTCTACACCTGCTGGTGGTCATCTGAGCACCGAAACGCTCCATTTCTGAAATGCTCTATGAAGGTTATTTTTTTTTTGAGGACGAAATGGAAAAGTTAAGTATCTCGTCCACAGTCACTTTATCTGAAGCAAGTGGCACTTGCACCCAGGGCACCAGCCCCAGCCACTTTGTAAGCTCTAGAAACAGGCAGAGCTTGGCCACAGAGGGCAGGCCATTCTTTAAAAGTCCCCGTTTTAAGGGGAATGTGGTCAGTAAGGCTAGATAGATACATGTGTGTGTTCTATTTCTCTGATGTCAAGATCTGTCCCCTTAATGCTGGCAGAGAGGTGAAGCGAGCCAAAGCACTGGCTGGCAGGAGATCCTGTGGGAGCATAATTAAAAGAAAAAACACTAGAGGGTAGAAACACCAGTGTAAACGTGTACATCTGTAAGACTCTGAGCATGTGTGGGCCTGGGCCTGGGTATCTTTAAATGATTTGATCTCTGAAGACACAGCCTTTGGGGGGCTGGGGAGACATTTGATGTGCTTAAAACAAAGGACAAGAAACAAAAATGAACACACTTTATTTCTACCATATTTAGTAGAGGAATTCACTTTAAATACTACAGAGTTTTAACAGGCCAGAGACCATTACCTGTGTGGGGGTAAGGGAAGAGGCAAAATGCCCAAACATTGCCCGAGGATGGGAAAGATGGAATGAGAAGAAACCATAAGAATCTGAACTCATCCAAGTAGTGATCATGCTTAGAGCAGCTTCTACCACTCACTCCCTTGTAGAGAAGACTACGAAAAACATGCAAGTACCTTTTCCATTTCCTGGCGGAAGGTGGTAAACAGTTCATTGCTTTTTGCCATGGTTGTCTGGAATTCTTCAAACTTGTCCATATAAAGTGAAAGCTACCAGGAAAAAATATGAAAAGTTCTGAGTTTCAGGTAAACTGTTCACAACCCTGAGACGTTCTAAAAGAATACAAGAGTGCTGAACCTAAGTGACTTACGAGTAAGAGAGACGGGACCGAGAACACATCCAGGCCAGGACGCCTGAGGTGGCGGCGTCCCTAACGTGCCCAAGTGCACAGACTCTGGCCACCTCCAGGTATGTCTGCATTGTACACTCCTTCCCAGTGCTATCCCACCAATCATAGAAACTGAAGGGTATGGTAGAGTTACATCTTGATTAAAGCCGCAATCATTTAATGAATTACCCCCTCATAGATAGACCTGAAAAACTGCTCTCAGGAGAGGAGGATTCTTCTAAAATACATTTCTTAGCTTGGCACTGATGACATCTCTTTCCTCAATGTAAGGAAAATGAGACAGAAGCCAATGAATGTACTGGTTACGGGGGAGCAGGAGAACTCAGCCTATAGTTGAGTGATAAACTAGAAGAGGTGGAAATATCATTTTGTCTTTTTTTTTTTTTTAAGATTTATTTATTTGTGCATACAGAACTGGGGTACAGGCCAGAGGCTCAGGGACAGTGAGACAGAGTGGGGAGCAGAACAGGCCCACTGACAAAGTACACTGCTGACGGGAGCAGCGGGCGGGTCAGGAGAGGTCTGCCACACCATGTGGGTCACCTCTGGGACGGGCGGGGATCAAACTCATGCTGAAGTGGCTTTAGCTTCTCAGTGCTGTGCTTTAACCCGCTGCACCACCAGGGAGGGCTGATTTTGTCTTTTAACTCCTTGAGAATGGTTACTCCAGGTGGGAAGAGAAGGCTGATGAACACCGCCAAGCAGAGTAGTGAAATGTGGAGTTGCCCTTTCTGCCCCAAGAGCAGCTGTTTGGAAGCGGGAGCAGTAGGGCCACGGTGGTTAGGGAAGTTTCATGTGAGTAGCTGAATTTGTTTAGACGGGGTGGGAACTCTTCAGTAACGTCTCCAGTAACGTCATAACTGTTAGGAAAAGGAAAGTCTTTTGCTCAAGATTACAGAATACAGAAAAGCAGGAAAGGTATGAAATATCATCAAGTGCCAAGAAATACCACCAGTGATGTCTTTCCACTTAAAGCACTGCTGTGGTAGCAGCCCAGGACAAGCAGAGGGGCCACGTTACCAGGCGGGACAGAAGCATGGAAAGGAAAATTCTGACTGGGAGGAAGCCTGAATGCAGGGTTGCGAGTGACCACAGGCTGGATGATTGACTGCAAGGTGGCTGCCCCATGTCAGCAGGAAGGCAAAGGCCATCTGAGTAGAAAGGAAGTGGGCCAAGCAGAGGATTCATGAGTGGCCTAGTGAGGGCAGCCAGTAACTGCCTGGGAAGCGACAGGCCTGGAATAGGTAACAAAATTTTAAAATGTAATTTTTCTCAACAGACTGTGATCTTAGTTAACTAAAAATGGGTGAATTGAAAGTATACACATATCATTTCACCTGTCTAAAAAGACCAGGGAAGTTTCCTGCATTTTCTTTGAGGTGGGGATGGCATCTACTAACCCCACTTGCACGCAGAATACTCAGGTTGCAGTAGGATAGACCTAAGGGGTTCTGACTGAAAACCAGGGAGATGACAAAGAAGCCCAGGTCTGGGTGACTTCACAGCTGAAATGAAGAATTTAGACCAGGGCCTCCCTGGTGGCGTAGATCAGGCCATCTCCAGCTACTGCAATGAGAGTTCAATCCCCGGCCAGGGCAGCTGACCCACAGGGTGCAGCAGACCTCTCCGGTCTCTCCACTGCTACCCTCAGCAGTAGATTTCAATAGATCCGCCTATTCTGTACCTCACTCTGTTTCTGGTGAATCCTCTCACCCCTCCCCACCACACCTCAGGCCTACACCTCAGTTCTTCTATGCAAAAAAAAAATTTTTTTAAGAATTTACACCAATTTTTCTCAAACTCTTGCAGGTGCATTTTATCTGGTATCAAGCCAGATAAGGATATTCACTACAAGAAAACTCGGGTTCATCCCTGATAACTATAAATGCAAACACTCTCAGCTAAATACAAGCAAACCAAATGCAATAGCACATTAAACGGGTCTTACACCATGATGGAGAGATTTATCTGTGGGATAGCAAGGGTGGTTCAACACAGGCAAATCAATGAATGTGATATATATCAATAGAAGGCAAAACAAAAATATGAGTCTCTGAATAGAGACAAAGAAAGCCTGACAAAACTGAGCTTCCTTACATGAAAAAGCTCTCAATGAGTTAGGTCCAGGAAAACTGGTCAGAGCAAGGTCAGGACCAAGACAAGGTTCCGCTGCCACCACAGGCAAGGAAAGGAAATAAGAGACATCCAAACTAGAAAGAAGAAGTAAAACTGTCTCTGTGGATGACATGACCTGAGAGAAAACCCTAAGACGCTACCAAAACCCCCACAAAATCACCCATTAGAATAAGCAAATTCAATAAAATTTCAGGATACAAAACCAACAAAGAGCAAGCTGTTCCTATATGCTAACAATGAAATGCCAGCAGAAGAAAGTAAAATAATCAGACTTATAAAAGCATCGAAACCAATACATATTTGGAATACATTTACTCTGAAATGAAAAGCTCTTACAACAAGTACTGTAAGATATGATCTAAGATACTGAAGATGAGTAACCCTGAAATTGGTACGGAACCCTGAGAGCCCAAGAGCCAAAGCAGCCCTGAGACAGCGAGGCTAGAGGCGCCGCACTCCCCCATTGCTAACTAAGCCACAAACCGAAGTTCAGGTATGAACCTGGGATAAGGACACAGGCCAACAGGATTGACACATGCTCAAATAATATTTGACAACAGAACAGGCAAAGGACAGTCTGTTAAATTTTAAGGCCTGCAACCATAAAACTCTTAAAAATAAAGGGACCAATACAAATAGCAATAACACATCAAAGGAAAAAGCTTCTACACGGCAAAGGAAACAACCAACAAAACGAAAAGGCAACCTGTGGAAAAAGAAAATACTTGCAAAGGGCCCTCCCTGTGGTGGAGCAGTGGGTAAGGACGCAGCACTATGCTAGCTGCAGCCACTTCAGGGTGCATTCAACCCAGCCTGGGAGGTGACCCACAGGGTGCGCAGACCTCTCCTGACCTGCCCACTGCTCCCCTCAGCAGTACTGGTACTTTGTCGATCTGCCTGTTCTGCTCCCCACTCTGTCTCTGGTCAATCTGTCACCACACCTGTGCCCCAGTTCTGTATGCATAAATAAGTCTTTAAAAAAGAAAAAGGAAATACCCACAAATGACAGAAAGGCCATTATTGACAACACAAAAGAGAGCACACTGGAGTGGACAGAAGGGAACCCTGGGCAGACTGTTGCGGGAAGGTGAGTTGGTGCCATTTCTGGGAAACAGGTTCCTCAAAAATCCAGAATTGGTGGATAGCAACCCGCTTGTGGGTGTTTACCAAAGGAAATGAGATTGCTAAGTCAAAGAACTACTACACCCCCTTGCTCTCTGCAGCATTAGTTAAAACAGCCAAGAGATGAAAACAGCCCAAATATCTATTGACAGATGAATGCATAAGAAATGGAATATCACTTGGCTGTCAAAAAGAAGGAAATCCTGTCACCTTGGGCCCTGAAGGCATAATGCTAAGTGAAGTAAGGCAGGCAGAGAAAGAAAAATACTCCAAGATTTCACATAGATGTAGAACCTACAACTAGAACTCTTAGAAACACAGAGTAAAGTGGTTGTCAGGGCTGGAATAGGGAGACACTGACCAAAGGGCACAAACTTTCAGTTATGAGTACATTTGGGATCTAATGTGCAGCCTGGTGACCACAGTTAATGCTGTATCCCTCAGGGAAAGCCCCCATTAACACCACCACCAGCACCATTCTCCCGGCCGTGGAACCATATGGTCATAGATGGTGTTTTAGCAGGTTATATGGGCCTTCTTGCTGACGTAGGGGTTAAGTCTCAGCACTATGTCCCCTCAGCATAAGTTGGACCCCTGGCCAGGGCGCTGACCCACACGGTGCAGCGGACCTGTCCTGTCTCCCTGCTGCTCCCCTCAGCAGTGGATTTCAGTGGATCTGCCTGCTCTGCTCCCCACTCTGTCTCTGGTGAATCCTCTCTCACTCTCCCTACCTCTAGTCTACACCCCAGTTCTTTGTGCAAAAAATAGGTTATGTGCTCATACTAAAGATTTTAAGCTAAGTTCTGTGCAACTGCCATTTTGGTTTTGAAGGTCAAAAAAGTCAAGCAGTAATTCCATATAGTTAGTACTACATGGAATGAAAGAAAGTCAAGATTTATCAGTTTTTCTTTGGCTGGAAATGAGCTGACCCATGTGTGAACAGATTGAGAAAGAGAGGAAGTGCCTGGGTGTTGGCAAGAGGTCACTGCAGAGAGCAGGACCAAGGACTCCAGTCTGCCTGAGGGCTCACCAGACCTACTCGGTTTCCTGGGACACAGAACTTGGGGTGGTAAAACCAGGAAAGTTCTAGGCAAATCAGGATGTGTTAGGAAATGAACAAGGAAATGAATGAGGAAAATTCCACACGATCTGGCTCTAGCTGGGAACAAACAAAAGCATCATAGAGGAGATTCAAGGTAGGTAGGAAATGAAGCAGGTTCTTCTACTATCCCCTACAGTCAAGTTACCTGCTGCTTTAGTTGTACTTCTTGCTGTTTCATTTGTTCATATTTGTGCCTCGATTCTGTTGCTTCTTTTAATAACTAGAAAACAGAAACATTCTGGCAAAAAACTAATAGTAATTACAAGTACGAGTATGTCAAATGACCAGATGGTTAGGCTTCACCTCCCACCCGCTGTTCCATCAGGACCATGTCTGCCGATAAAACATCCCAGTAAGTCAATAGCTGATTCCCTACGTCTTCATCTCCCACTCGTCCACACTGGTGATGCACTAATGTTCTTCTACAACTTAGGAAAAGTACCCAGGAGGCCTAATGGTAAGAGTCAAGTTGTTTTAGGTGAAAATAATCAGAACATTAGAAATTTTGACATCAGATGGGTGATTCAAAAGGCCCCTCTATTCAATGAGAGACAGAATGAAGCGGGTGAAAGGGCACATGCTGCAAAGCAGTGTGATCAGGGGCCTGGTTTCAGTTAAAAGGGGGAGAGAAAGGGTGGAAGTTTTCTTTTACACACTTGGGTTTATAGAAAAACTATGAAGATGCCCCATAGCAGCTATGAAATGCAGTCCCCAAAATTCAAAGGTGGATATATAGTTCAAATACACCCTGAAAAGCCCAACCAGCACTCACAGATGTATAATGTGAGCACGTGCATATGTACACGAAGCTTCGACACTTAACTTTGGAGACGACAGCTCTTTCTTCAGCTACCCACGGGATACCCTGCCAGCACATGCTGTAGGACCAGTCTCTGAAAGCTATAATCTCTTTGAACTCAGGACCCACACTCAGTGAGACCTGGCCGCATCATGAGGCGAGGCCCATGCATCTGAGCCTTCCTGCAGGCTTGCCTCGGGGCCTAGGTTACTGGCATCATGCTGAACAGGCCTCATTATCATAAAATTTTCAATGGGGGGGGCTGTTAAATGCCTAAATTGCATGTGTTAAATACACATGCCCAGTGAGAATCCATTGCATTCACAATTATTGACAGGCAATACAATCTGAATCTGAGCCTATGCTTTGGGGAACAATGCTGATTAGGGAATCAACATCCTGTGAAGACCTTAGCAGGAGAATGTAGCCGAGTAAGCAGAATAGTTGCCCTACTTTCAAGTTACTTGTTTGAGTACAAAATGTTACAGTATATAGGAGACCCATGTTTGGTAAGCTTGGTATTGACATGAATTTGCCAAATTTAATGTGCTAAATCCTGGTGCAGCTCTTGAACCCTGTGCCCAGTACCTAGGAAGTGCAGTAAGTACTGTAAGCATAGAAAAGTCAAATGAGTGATGAGGTGTTTTCGGGAACTTGTTCTCTCCCGTGCATCGTCTGTATATAAAGTTACACAGAAAGAAAAGCAAAGTGTTTTCTAGCATCTCAATGTTGAGCAAAAAAAACCAATGAGCAGGACCCAGGTGGACTTTAGATGGAGACTAAGTCTGACTGGTGTCAATGCTGTGAGACACGCTGCGATAGTCAATGAAGCAACTTACAAACTCTCTCTCTCTCTGATGCTTTTCGTCGGCTTCTTTTATCAGCTGTGTCGTCTGCTGAAGCTTGGCATCCACAAGCTGCTGCTGCAGTTCCTTGTGCTTGAACACTTTATCAATATGCTGTGGAGGAAGTAAAGTTTCTGCCATCACATAATGAAAACAACAAGGGACCCGACCCTTACTTCTCAACATCCTTCCCTTGGCACAGCTGCCACAGGCCCCTTGGCCCGGCCTGCAGTCATGCAGCAACTCAGCCCGCCTCCCGTGTTCTCCTACCCCTCTCCCTGCCCTAATTCAGGAGCAGGGGGCATCAAATGCCTTTACAGCTGCATGTGCTTGCTGCTTCTGCCCTATGAAGTCTCAAGAAATCATGGAAAAGATGGGTAAGGAGAGCAAGCTGCAGCCCACACACACACAGTTCCCTAGGCAGAAGCCAGCGCAGTGCTTACACTCTCTGAGGCTTTGGTACCTTGGGACATGTTAAGACATTTGATGAGAGATCCATATATCCACATGAAATTGTTAAGGGGTTATTCACATGTAATAGTCACCAGCCCATTCCTTCCCAGATGCAGAAATTGCTACCTCTCAGTCACAATACCTCATGTGAGAGGAAAGAATGCTTGTTGGTACTAGGTAGTCTAAGTTTAAGCGCAATAGAAGGCCTCTCTTTACCTGAAATAACTTGAGCATTACTGTGCCCTAACCAAAGGATACCTGATAATATTCAAATACAACTTACAAGTTATGTAATTCAAGCATCTGATTTTCCAATTTCCCAGATCTATGATAAGGCAGACTCATTAAACAACAAAGGAAAATCGAGGCTTTATAATCTAATAAAAAAATTACTTTCTGGGACAAAAAAGGTTTCGGTAAACTCACTCTTCAGAAATAAAAACAGAGAAGGAATCTTTCTGTTCATAAAATGGATGGACTATATTTAGATCTATCAAATAACTGTTTAAAGAAGAGCCAATAAAAAAGTTGAACAATGACTATATTGTTAATTTTTCAGGCGTGAAAATGGTATCATGTATGCTTATCTCTTTGAAGTACCCACTCAATTATCTCCTAATGAAATAATATGGCACCTTGAATTTGCTTCAAAATAACCCAGGGGGAGGGGATGGGAATATAAATGAAACCATGGCTTCATCTGCTAAAGCTAGTGATGTGAGCCCTCTCCTGCTGAACACACCTTTCCATAATGGAAGGGAAAAGGAAAAAAAGAGCAAAATGTAGAGTGATATCAAAATCTTAAAAGTTTTTACACTTCACAACACAGGTTGCAGAGATGTCTTTGTGAACTCATCTCTAGCAGCAAGGAAAACAAACAATGCGGTTGCATCAAACTAAATGCTTCTGCAGAGAAAGACCCTGTCACTAACACAGGCACCCTAAGGAATGGGAGAAAATGTGTCCACACCATCCGACCAACAAGGTTGTGATAGCAAAGATCCATAAAGCGCTCATATTACACAACAGAAAGAAAACAACCCAATCAAAAAATGGGCTGCAGTGCTAACAAGGCACTTTCCAAAGAAGAAACGCAGCTAGTCAGCAGGCGCATGAAATATGCTCTTCACCACTAGTTAGAGAACTGCAAATGTAACCATGAGATGCTGCCTCACACCTGTGAGAACAGCATGTCTTGAAAAGCCCAGAAACAACAAGCGCTGGTGAGGATGCAGAGAAAATGCAACACACGCTGCTGGGAATGTGGACTGGTCCAGCCCTTTGGAAAAGGGCAGGCAGGTTTCCCAGAAGATGAACTGGGGTCTCCCACTTGGGCCAGCAGTCCCATTGCTGGAGACCTACTGGGAGCTGGGGAGATGCAAACGCTAACTGGAGGGAAGACACACTCCTGGGCGCCTCACAGCACTGTTTACCAGAGCCAAGCACAGGACCCACACAAATCTGACACATGGATCGGGACGACGTGGTGCGTGCACACAAGGGAACATGTGGCTATAAAGATGTTAAACTCTTGCCATTTGCAGCAACATGGCTAGAACTAGGGGATGCTGCTGCTAGGCAAAATGAATCAGAAGGAGAAAGACAAATACTGGATGGTGTCACTTACATGTGGAATATAGAGGAACACAACAAAGGCTTGGTAAAGGCAAACAGATAACAAACCCTAAAAATATGGCTGTAGAACTGAGGCTACCAGAGGGGAGAGAGAACAGAGTGGGAGGGAGCACAATATACTGGTGGAGGACTAGGGGTGTTTTGGCGGTGGGGTATGGTGTGGTGACAACACCCGAAGGCTGTGGCCTACACCTCCCAGAGCCACAATGCTGTAAACCAAGATTACCGCAATTAAAAAAAGATTTTGATGGGCTATATGTAACACTCCAAAGTTTGCATTAAAAATTGGATAAAGCAACCCACAGAGATGCCACAATTAAAAAAAAACAACATTTAATCTGTATAAAGATAGAACACACACAGAAAGACCATCTCTTACTGCCTTAGAGGGCGGGGATGATGCCACGCTGGCCACTCAGGTGTGACAGCAAGGACCTCTCACGCAGGTCACCACCGGTCTGCTTTCTCCTCTAGACACCACCGCTCAACTTCTGCACTAGCTGGCAGGAGTCTTAGGTGGAGCCAGTGACCAAGTTCAGCAGCCATGGATCCTTCCAGTAAGCTATTTCAATGGGTGTATGTGTGAGTGATGAAGAAGAAAGTTCTTTTTCTCTCCCCAAACAGCCTTAAACCCTCATTTAAAAAGAAAGAGAAAGCAGAAACGTGCGGAGCAGCAGCAGGGCCAGGACGCTCGCCGTAGTGGCGGAAGCATTCACCCCTCGCTAGTCTGGCTAAGGGGCCTCTGTGTGCTGGAAGTGCAGTCTTCCAGCGTCCCGTGGAAGGCAAGCAGCATGTAAGAGGCTGCCACGAGACTGTGCCTCAGCCCAGACCCGTCGAGTGCTGACCCAAGCGTCCTTCCAGGCGAGCCCACTTCCACTCTTCAGCACAAAGTCCCAGGCAGCCCATGGCCTGGAGCGGCGAATAGCTCCTGCCAGGAACGAGACCTGTCGGAACACAAACCTCCTCTCGCAGAGCGTACTGCTCAATGAGCTTCTTCAACTTCTCCCCCAGCTCGATGTTTTCCTGGCGGAGTTTGGCGTTGTGGACATCGTGCTGCCCCAGCTGCGCCTGGATCTCATTTAGAGTAATCTGGAAGTGTGCGGTTGCTTCTTTACGTCTTTCTTCCTCCTCCCGTGCCTGCTGCATATTTTCTTCCTTAGTGTCCAAAACAATTTCTGTTAATGGCACAGACCTGTAGATAAGATGCTCACCAAAGCTGCTACAATGTGGGTTCATTTGCTGCTGCCTTGCAGGGTTGCTTCTGAGCTATATATAATTCTCTGCATTTATAACCAGAAGGCTCACTTTAAAGCCAGCTATTCCTAAGTAGAGCAATCAGAAAGCTGCGAACGGCCCTGCTATTAAACAAGGGCTACGTGACCATCTCTGCGTTACCACACAGAGCCAAGCCAGACGCCTGGCCAGAAGTCAGCTCCTCCACATGAAATTCCCAAAGACCCTCTTGGCTGGTTAACAAGGGTCATCTTTTTTCTTTTTTTTGCACAGAAGAACTGGGGTGTAAGCCAGAGGTGTGGGCGGGGGTGAGCGGATTCACCAGAGACAGAGAAGGGAGCAGAACAGGAAGATCGACTGAAACATACTGTTGAGGGGAGCAGCAGGGAGACAGGACAGGTTTGTTGCACCATGTGGGTCACTCCTTGGCTGGGGACTGAACTCAGGCCATGGTGGTGCTAGTGCTGAGTCTTAACACCAGGCAAGGGGCTGGAGCGGGGGTCATCTTAAATGAATCTGACAAGAAAACTCTCTGTGCAGCTTCCTCTCTGGACCATACCTCCTACTCCCTGGAAGTGACTTTCAACTCTTACTAGGATAGGAGTGGTGATAAAAGATCTTCACAGGGCCCTCCCTGGTGGCGCAGCGGGGTAAAGCACTGCACTAAGAAACTAAAGAGCCGCTTCCGCATGAGTTCGATTCCCGCCTGCCCCGGAGGTGACCACATGGCGTGGCAG